TTAAAAAATTTTCGGGACAAAGAGACGAACGGGTTGAAAGATGAAACGTGAAATATTCAAGGGGCCCAACTGAAAGAGCATTTCTTTTCCGTATCCGTGAGAAAGATCGTATACCTTTCCGGATAAGGAATCCTATCAGTAATGGATGTGAATGAGGTTTTTCATGGCAGAGAAGTGCTTAAGGCACTGCGAGAAAAAACTACAGAGAATCCTGTTAATTTTTTCACAGCGTCGCTCCTGATTGGTCAACTGGATCTTGAATAAAGGGGGTTGACCAAGAAATTTTTTAGCAGATGATACCTTTACAAAAACATACCTAAAACTACAACTGTCAGCTAGCTTTTACTCGAGAGTCCAAAAACCAAGTGCGTATCCTAACAATATAATAGGGGCTGGCTGCCGGGGCGGGCTGATGAGTCTGTCGCTGCGGCGCAGCCTGCGCGGGATTCGACAATGGCACCCCCTCCTCGCGCGCGACGGCCTGCGCGCAGCATTGACAATCCCTCCCCGCTACAGCGCAGAGGGGGCCAACGGGCACGGCGCGGCCAAGCCCTAGTCTCATGGCGCGGCGGTGCAGGCCACGACACAAAGGACTCAGTTTTTAAATATTATATTTGGAATGAGCCCATACTACCCCGTAGAAGAAAACCAAACGAGTATCATCTGCTTTCATTAACGTTCGTTGAATGAGATGTTTTATTCTTGATTCGAGTAGATCTTGACGAGACCTTTTCAACGAATGATCGGAACCTAGGTCTAAAATGCTCGCATCGTCATCGGGGACCCTGTGAGGTGCCCGTCGACGTCCTCGGGGACCCAACGGTGACCTATGAGGCTTTGTCCATGCCGTCCCGATGTGGCATTGGCCGCTCGGACAACAGAGAGATGAACACAAAAAACAACAGTGAGCTACGTCTTTTAAAAGACAGAGATCACTGTAGTTTTGGGTACAGAGCGACGCTGTGAAAAAATTAACAGGATTCTCTGTAGTTTTTTCTCGCAGTGGGGGGCACACTAGTGAAAATGCGGAGATTTTGAAAAACGATCATTCTGAGAAAAGTAACCTATGTATTCGCTTAATATTTTATTCGTGGCTCAAAATTATATCAAAGGAAAGAAAACTCCGTATGGGAGAGTAGGGTGGCGATGGCAAGACGGAGCGCCAGTGCCTTCCATTTTTCTGCGACCTCGCTTCACCCCTGCCACGATTCCGCCTCTCTGGATTAAGCCTCGAGCACGGGATTTGAAAATTTCTCAACAGGACACATGTGGCTATGGTCTGAACCACGGGCATGCCAATTGAATGATTTCAAAAAAAACGAAACGAAAAAACCTGTTTTGATCATTTTTACAGAATCTTCAAAAAGTGTTTTTGGATGAAATTTTGTACTTTGGGTTGCTCGATGTTCATAATCCTAGTTCACGCTATAGCCGCTTCAATTGCCTAAATTTTGGCGCAAATGGGGTTGAGATATCTTCATTTTTGCGGACTGAGGGATGCCCGCCAGTTCGACTTTTGACGAAAATTTGATTGGGCGCTGCTCCGCTCCCTGTCGTCCGATCGATGCCATTCTGGGCTTAAAATGCTTCTTTTTGTAAGGCCTTGACACATGAAAAGTATGAACAACGCACAACAACGCGTATGGAAGCAATCACACAACTCAGTTTTGAACCATTTTCAGTGTATTGCCCCCTTAAGAAAAAGCCCTTTTAGTGGAAACATTGATTTGACGTGTTTTTTTTTCGGATTATTAATGCGCCTTTTGACTTTTCTTTTCTTTGATATAATTTTCAGCCACAAATAAACATTCAATCGAATACATGGGTTACTTTTCTCAGAATGATCGTTTTTCAAAACCTCTGCATTTTCACTGGTGTGCCCCCTTAAAAAGTACAAAAGTTACGGAGTATTTTCAACAAAAGCATGCGTATGCCCAAAAAACTTCGTGAAAACAAACCGCTTTACTTTATAGGGCTCAAAATAGTTAAATTCGGCCATCAGATAGTTATTTTCTACATAACTAGCACTGAGCACACTGTGGCACTCTTTGGCACTTTCTGTAATTTAGTTTGGATTACATTTTGATCCATTTTCTTTCATAAATTAATTCCGAATATTGTTTTGAGTCCCATTCAAGATTTTGGTTAAATTGATCTTGTTTACTGACCAAAAAGTAAGCACCCACTTCAAGTCAAACTTCGTAATTTTGGGTCAACTTACTTTGACAGATCCACGCAAGTGACATCCCTGTCGCCGAGAACGGAGACTGCTTCGGAGTAGGCGAGCTGCTGGACGTCCGGCATCAAGGACAACACCTTGAGCGCCATGCTCAGCACGAACATCGATGTCTCCACGTTTGCGACCATGAAGGTTTTAAACTCGTCCACGATGTCCTGCTCCGTCATGTGCTTGCCGTCGTCGACGTCGGGTGTTTCCAGCATGATGTCCACGAGCGTTTTCCGTGCCCGCTCGAAGTCGTGGTTGCTCTCCTTGTTTCCAAGTTGCTTCCGCTTCTCCGCAAGGAGCCTTTTGACCATCAAATCAAATCTGCCCATCATCCTGCTCGACTTCCTCCCCAGCGAAGTCAACGCGAATATCTGGTCAGGCCACAGCAGGGGGTTGAAGGCGCGGGCGTTAACAGAGTACATGAACACTTTGATGGCCTCGACGGCTTCCATGAGGTCATCGTCGAACTGCGAGCCCTCGGCAGTCATGGACGTCCGGAGGAAATCCCGCATGAGTGCTTTCCTCAGGTTGTCTAACACGTCGACCTCTTTGTCAGTGACTACGCGGTCCACAAAGCCGTTGGCCTCTTCGCAGAAGATGGTCACTAAACGGTCCAGGACGTTCTGGTTGAAGCCAGGGGCCAGCCACTTACGGTGCGCCTTCCACTCGGCGCCACTCAGCTGCACGAGTCCCTTCTTTGCTGTGGCTTCGAGGAGGCGGTAGAGAAAGAAGGCCTTGTTTCCAAACTCATGGCGACGCATGACCTCTTTGATTTCCGAGGGGTCTTGGATAGCGATAATCATGTGACTAAAGATTGACAAGCGGCTCATTTTTCTACAACCTTTGGTCAACTCAAGTAGGGTCTGCATGATCGTATCCGGGGTTGCCCTCATGAAGTCCAGTGCGTTGCCGAGGAGCGGCAGCGAGGGCGGCCCGGGGATGGCCATCTCCAGCTTCCTGAAGTGCAGGTAGCCGAGGAGGAAGCGCGCCAGCAGCATGGCGGTGCCGGCCAGCGCGGCGATCATCAACACTTCGGTCATCACGGCCATGGCTGGGAGGACCAAGCAGAAGCGCGGATGGAGCTCGACTGCACCCAGCCTCCGCGGCAATCTTCATCAGTAAGTGGCGAGGCAGCACAATTAACCTGCTGTGTGCAAGTTTGTAAGCGAAGAAATAACATGTTTGTTTGCTTCAAAAGTCGGGTTGCATATGCAAGGAAAATAATTCCAGTCTCGCTGGTTTCTTTCCAATGGACCCGGACTCGCTCGTGCGTCATGCATCGATGAGGACTGAAGTGCAGTATTCTGTGCCGGTGACAGGGCCTGATTGCGGCATAGTTTCGGAAATGTCTCGACTTGACCTATCGATGGGGCGAATAAAAATTATCAGTCAGTCGGTCCCCTTTTTCGAAGACTGAGTGCAATTGAGTTCAATTTTGGCCGTACCGACGTTAGGAATGTGTTCCCTGGTGCAATGGGCGTCAAAAAGGGTCAACGCGCGGAGCTTGGTCTTGAGGTCAAGGGCCACAGACCGAGTTGACGTCTTAAAATGGCTCAGTTCACATTGGGACAGGGTGAAGCTGGGCCATGTGGATAGCAAAAATACATGAATCGTACATATATTATCTTGTCTCGTCCAAACAAATAAAAGTTATCTCGGATCAATCGAGATCGGACCAATCAAGTCACAAATCGAAGTGTAGGTAGTTGGTACGGCTTTCGCATGAACTACAACCATGAAGATCAAGCTATCAAAAGTACAAAACTTAGCGGAATAAAACCTGTTTAAATCTTAAATCTAAAAAAAAAAATCGATGAAATTTTGTACTTTTGATAGCTCGATGTTCATGGTTGCAGTTCATGCGATAGCCGTTTCAATCACCTACATTTTGGCACAAACGGGGTTGAGATATCTTCATTTTTACGGATTAAGGGACATCCATCAGTTTGATTTTTGACGAAAATATGATTGGTAGCTAGTCCGCTCCCAGACGTTCGATCGACGCCATTCTGGGCATTAAATGCTTTTTTTTGTTAGGTCTTCACACATGAAAAGTTTGAACAACCTAGAACAACAAGATTGGAAGCAATCGCACAAGTCAGTTTTCGGCCATTTTCAGTGTACTTTGGCGGCTGCGTCTCTGCAAACAGGGAGCAGCCGCTTCTCCGATCAATATTGAGCTAGCCATGTCAACACATTTGTGACGTTCACTTTCCAAGAAAGCTGCGAGCTACTTGTTCCTCTCACCAGCTTCGCGCTGTTTACATTTCTCACCTTGAAACTCACATTGCCGCAACCATGAGCACTCTTCTTGGAAACATCTGGCAACTGCCATCGAAATCAAAAGACAACACAGAAGGCACCGCTGTGTCAACATCATGATACCACACGCCTCTTGGTCCGGAAGAGCGTATTCGTGGTTTCCTTTAAGTAGAGAGGCGACGCGATCCACTGCACCGTTCGACGCTCACAGCACCAACAGACTTGCTTCACCATGTCCAAGATGTCCTTCCTGGTCGTCGTGGCCGTCGCGGCCTGCCTCGTTGTAAGCAGGGATGATACCCAAACCGAAACGATACCAGGGCCGTTACGACAACAGTTTGCACTTATGATTAAAACTAAAAGAGTGTTGCACCTGGAACCAAGGGGACAGCTTTTCCTTGTTGATCAAAGCGTACCGGAGCTTTGTTCCCATGTGGGCCAAGTCCAAATTCCGCTTCCCTGAGTTTTGTTCTTTTTGGGGCTGAAATCAACAAAACTCAAGGAAGCGGAATTTGGACTTGGCCCATATGGGAACAAAACTCCGGTACGCCTTGATCAACAAGGAAAAGCTGTTCCCTTGGTTCCAGGTGCAACACTCTTTTAGTTTTAATCATAAGTGCAAACTGTTGTCGTAACGGCCCTGGTATCGTTTCGGTTTGGGTATCATCCCTGGTTGTAAGCCTACTTTCACATTGACTCGCAGTCACAAAGCTGATTACAAGACGCTACTTGGCTTCTTTCCCTGCCCGGTAAAACAATCTCCAGGAAATTGACCAATATTCCTAAGAGCCCCAGGATATTTTGCTGAGAATTACCCAATGTTCCTGGAAACCGCAGGAGATGGATTTACCGTGTGTTTTTGGGAATACCCCTCGTTATGACAAACAACTATGAGTTGATGGAGAGTCTCAAGCGGATCCAAACTCAGCACTTGTTTGAAAGTGACACGTTTAGAGTCATTTAAATGAACGTGGCAAAAACGCACGTGAACCTCGAGGGGGATGGGTAACCCACTGTGAGAGGTTTAGTACAATAACTGTGAGGAATGTGCACTGTGCAGGATTACAATGTAAGTCCAAACGCTATGGTTATTGCACGTACGGTGCAGTAAAATGAGACATCGCATCATGCGTGCAATGTGTCCCTATAATGATCTTTCTAAATGCGTAAGAAGGCATTTGTAAACAAAAGCAGCTCATGCATTGCAATATTTGGCGCTATACTCGAAGCGTTTTGGTTCGCAGTGTTCCGCCGTACCACACATCGTATGTGAGACGTGTTATATGCGTTTCACCACCTGGACGTGACATAAGTTCAATAGGGTACTTTCGTAGATCCCTGAACCGGAAGCACACAGACGCCATGATGGCGAAAGTAGATCCAAACTTGACATGGGAAAGAGACGTTCGTCAAAGGTATCGGCCACACTTGAACATAAACAGTTGTTTGATACTTGTTTGCAGTGCATATGTGTTTCGCGAGCAATATTTGTACAGCTCGGCTATAGTTTTGGATCCGAAGAGAGGTTAGTTTCCGGCCAATTTGGCGTCTGCTGGTCTGCTTGCTTCCGGTGCAGGATTCTACGAAAGTACCCTATTCTGTGGGATGTTGTTCCACCCTCGCTTGATCGTATCACGTGCCAACAAGGTGTATGAATGTTATAACATTCAGACGTTTCTGACACTCGGGTTGCTGCTCTGGCATCATTGCAAGGAATGTGATGCTACATTCCCCGTAGGCTGGTGTTTCCAAAGGCAGCATGGTTTCTATCATGCTCCGTCTTATGGGGAGAGGTCAGGTCTTATATCACAGTGTACTCACGCCTGCCTCCTCCCTCCCGCAGGCTGAAGCCTTGTCCGCCTGCCCGTCCCGGCAGCTCAACAGTTTGGAAACCCAGATCGAAATCTGCAGCAGGAACGTCCCAGTGCCGTACCGCGGCTCGGGTTCTTGGCAGTGGGCCCGCTACGTTAGCGGAAAGATGGCCAAAGAACCCACATGCAACCTGGATAACGCCGCCGGCTACCTGCAGGGCAACTTGGAGGGCCGCGGCTACATCGGCAAAGACGACATAGACCGCGCCGTGAACTGCCTCAAGACCTCCATCAGCTCTGGCATTTGCTGCTGAGGAATAGTCGGTTAAGGAAATAAATGTTGACATGAGTCCAGAATGGCTGCACATTCCTGCTGTACTGGTCACCCCTTTCATGTACACCTTACACGGGGATATGGTGTTGCACAGTTGGCTAAAAAACGTGGAGGCGGCCGAAACTCATGATCGTTTTGGTCCGAACGGGTTCTATTTTCGTCATCAGCAGCCTCAAAAACGTATGAAACGATATGAAACTTGACACAAAGTTGAAAGTACCAAAAAAGTTGTCTTATTTCTGCCGTTTTTTTTTAATGTGTTTTGGCTAATATGACCGAATGGATTGAGATAGAAAGCTTAACTTTGGTGTGTGGCGATCCAAGGACATACCTAATGACCCTGCAAAATCTCACCCAGATCGGCCGAGCCGTTCAGGAGGAGTAGTGCACACACACACACACACACACACACACACACACACACACACACACACACACACCTACACACACACACGCAGACAGACAGACAGACAGACAGACAAAACTTTTTAACCCCACTGGAGTAACGGGCATCGCTATCGGCAGGGTTGATACCCAAACCGAAACGATACCAGGGCCGTTACGACAACAGTTTGCACTTATGACTAAAACTCAAAAAGTGTAGCATCTCGAACCATGGGAAGAGGTTTTCCTCGTTGATCAAGGCGTACCGGAGTTTTGTTCCCATATGGGCCAAGTCCAAATTCCACTTCCCTGAGTTTTGTTCTTTTTGGGGCCTAAATAAACAAAACTCAGGGAAGCGGAATTTGGACTTGGCCCATATGGGAACAAAACTCCGGTACGCCTTGATCAACGAGGAAAACCTCTTTTCTTGGTTCCAGGTGCTACACTTTTTGAGTTTCAGTCATAAGTGCAAACTGTTGTCGTAACGGCCCTGGTATCGTTTCGGTATGGGTATCATCCCTGGCTACCGCTCAGCCAATGACAAAAGTCCCAACTGTAAAAACCGGTCGTAGTTCAACAGTGCTTTCCAATTAAGACGATTATTCATGATTACAGTGTTGGCATAAACAAAACATGCCCGAATTGAAAAGTTTCATTTGTTTTGTGTAAGCAGTACTGGTGGACTTTCGCCATTTTGTCAAAAAACCCATGGACTTTCGTCGTTTCGTCAAAGTGCGGTTGAACTTTCGTCTGTGATCTCATCTCAGAAGTGCGCGAATTTTCATCAGGATTTCAGACTTGTTTCTGACACACTGACAAAATTTACTCGAGTGTGTGAATTTCGGTGTACAAATCCGATGAATTTCAGTCGAATTTCGATGAATTTAGGTCAAATTTCGAAGAATTTTAGCCGAAATTTGACGAATTTCAGTCAAGTTTCAATAAATTTTAATCGAATTTCGATGAATTTTACAAGTTTGTTGAATTTACGAGTACAAATTTGGCTGGAATTATTTCGCCTTCGCATACAACAGGATCAACAACACTTCTGCCAGCAGAATGATCTCGCCCAGATGAGGTAGCTGCCCCGTGCCGATTGGTGCAGAAGGCGAAAAGTTGTGCGTGCTCCTCTTCCACGAAGGAACCCTTTAAACTATGCCACTATCCATGTAACCATTGAAAGTCAAATGCAACAACTGTCACAAAGATAGTAGAATAGTTTTTGGGGTTTATTTCATGTAGTTTCATGTAGATGTGATTACAGAGACATTTAATTTCCTTAACATCAATAAAATAAACAGATAAAACACTGATAGACATTTATCAGAACAGACATGCAGAAATATAAATTTGACCTGGACGCAGCGTGGTTTAAAGTGCTCCAAATGCAGTCTCCCCAACAAGTCTTATTTTAATTTGGTTAAAACACCACGATAATACACAGACAAAACACCAATAGACATCAAGCAGAACAGACAAGCAGAAATATAAATTAGACCAGATCACATTGTTCCAAATGCCCCCTACAAGTCCAATTACATCGAATACACCAACTGCCATTGGGATAGAATGGTGTTTTGTTTCTTATGTACATGTAATTGTTTTCTTTTTAGCGTCTGAAATGCACGTCGGATGACCGTACCGAGGTTAGGAATGTGTTCCCTGGTGCAATGGGCGTCAAAAAGGGTCAACGCGCGGAGCTGGGTCTTGAGGTCAAGGGCCACAGACCGAGTTGACGTCTTAAAATGGCTCAGTTCACATTGGGACAGGGTGAAGCTACTGGGCCATGTGGATAGCAAAAATACATGAATCGTACATATATTATCTTGTCTCGTCCAAACAAATAAAAGTTATCTTATGCAAGTGGTCTCGAAAGTCATTACTTCCTTTTTTTTCGGGTAGAGAGTCGAAACTTGATTGAGTGTTATGGCTGGCATTTGCAAAATTGTCCCGGCCTCTTAAGGGGGCAATAGAATGAAAATGGCCGAAAACTGACCTGCGCGATTACTTCCATGCGTTGTTGTAAGTTTTCAAACTATTTATGTGTCAAGTCCTTACGAAAAGACTGTTTTCAGTGGCACCTTTGCTGTTTCTCAATTTATTTCTTACAGTCTAGCTGCTAACAAACTGTGACTTCGGAGGGATTTGGTCCAAACTGCCGACAAACAAAGAATGTTACCCATCCTGTGCGTCTCAGTGTTGACACTGCTTTCACTCCTCTCCCGCAATCGTGACTCACGGTCCTATGACACACCGGGCAGATTTTACACGTAACTAATAAATGCAAGTACCGTAACGTCGGCGTGCACGCTGAGGTAACGGACTGCTCAATTTCATCTAGAACTGGATTGTCCAAGGTCAAACGAGCGTAAACGCTCTCGAGGGCAGGCAGACTCGGAAAGACAGAGGCGTAGTCCCAGTGCATGTCTAGGTGAGTCAGTTTCTGGCACCTTTCTAGTGCCGTGAGCAGGTCTGGTCTGGCTATCAAGCCCGGACGAAATTTAGCGGTGACAAGGCCATCCACCAATAGGTCTTTGAACAAATCATGCTGCCTGGAACTGGTCCCCTTCTCGACAACCTCCAGCTCAATCAGATTGGGGAAAAGTTGCTGCAGTTGACCCTTTTCGTACACGAAGTCATGTTCCACGTAAACCGATAACTGCTCGAGACAGTGCAATTGGGAGAGCACATACACAGAGCTATGACCCAAGTCAGTTTTTGTCGTATTTTCTAGCACTAAGGTCAGTCGTTTCAGGTGGTATCGGCTACGCCACACCGATTCTAGGTACCCCCGGCGGAGGGATCTTGGTACATCGTCTTTGATTATTAAGAGATTTTGGGACGCTAGTAGTCGAGCTAAATCACGGACAACGCGCTGGTCGGGGATGACTAGTCGTTCAGTGGGCCAGAGGAAACAGGTGACATAATAGTGATCAACGACTGTATGAAGTTCGGGCGGTATTTTCTTGAGACCCTCTACGATACTAGTAATGGTGAACCAGGTATAGGCTTTCGGAGCCATTTCTGACCACCGCGTGCACACGGCGGGCAGCACTTTTTGGATAGTTAATCCATCGGCGATTTGGTAGAAGATGTGACGTAGAACTTCGTTTGGCAGGTTTTCAATGCCCGGACGGCTGAGAACGAAGGGTGGAGAAAATCATCATGAGCTCATGGGCACTAAAAATGTACGTGCTTACTAGGGATGTGCGAATAGTTCGGTATCGAATCGAATCAAAATTCGATTCGATTTAATCACCCCTGATTCGATTCGGGGACGGATCTCTTTGCCTTGACCCCGAATATTCAAAATTTTCGAATCGACAGTGGCGCGTCTTCGAATCGGTTGCACGGGAACGGTTGGATTTGGCGTGCAAAGCGTTGTTTTTATGCCAAAGCAAGATCGGATAATTAATTTTTCTTCTTTTTGTATATGCCCTTCCTTTATTATGAAATGTGTTTTGACACGCACTTTTTTTTTTTTAGTTTCAGTTTGAATTCGATTAGATTCGGAATCTTCAAAAGTTCGATTCGATTCGACAACTTTTTTCAGATTCGATTCGAGTTCGAAACTTTTTTTTGAGATTTGATTCGAAATGAAAATCTTTGATTCACACATCCCTAGTGCTTACACACTCAGTACTCACTCACATAAGTGCTGCAAGTTTGGAGCATGTCTTGTCGAGACGAATCCATTGATATATGGAAGAGTAATTTTGGACAATTTTGAAAATTTACATCGTATTAAAGAATGAGACGACCTAGAGTAAATTTTCAAAATTGTCCAAAATCAACGGATTTGTCTTGACAAGACCATAAACCTTAAGTGCTCATGTCATAAACTTGGACGCAAAGTCAGAAAGTTGGTTTGAGAATTCAAGTAAAACGGCCAGAATGATGCATCTTTTCTTATCAAGAAACAAACCGGGGAGAGATATTGCAAAAGCCTTTGACAGTGAACCATTTCATAATGACCTGTACCCCTAAAAAAAGTTTCATCAAAATCGGAGACATGAACTTCTAAGAGTTCGTTGGTTTGGCATGGAATCGCCCACATCCGAATGCTGCTTTGAGAGCCGATGTGTTGCAAAAGAGTCTGCCGAGCGCTAGGGTGTTTCAAAAAAATTTGATTTTTGAAAGGAGTCGGTTTTTGGAGCGGTTCACAGTAAAAGCAAGAATAACAGGAAAAGTAGCGATTTTAATCGGCAACTTTGGCCCGTCCCGTACATTAAGAAACGTACGAATTTCACCCATAATTGACCCTGACGGGATTCAAACCTGAGTCTGAGGTTAAAATAAATGTCGTTTTCGTCATCAGCATCCTCAAAAACATAAGAAACAATGCAAAAACTCGAATAAAAAGAATGTTCAAAATATACGCCACTGGGATTTGAACCCGGGTCCGAACTTCTCCGATTCGCTCGAAACTGACACCATTGGTTTTTTCTCGTCGCCCCGATTCCAAAAATACCCCTACATGCCCTCCTAGCTGCATCCGTTGCCGAAATCCTCCTCGACCCCATGCAGACCATGATGCACCTGCAGCAGCGCCCCCGGGGCTCGGATCGGATTTGCTGCCACCGGGCGGTTCTTAGGGTCACCCAAGGAGGCTGCATACCAAATTTGGTCAAGATCGGACCACGGGAAGT